CCCGGAGCCGCCCAGGCCCTTCCCGCCCCGCCCTGGCCCATGGCGGCCCCGGTCCGGTCCTTACTTGTCCCCGCGGCGCCCGCGGCCATCGCGCCCACGACGAGCAGCGCCAAGAGCGCGCGCGATCCCGCCGCCATCTCCGCTCGCGTGCCCGCCGCGCCGCGCGCGCGCTATAAGCGCGGCCGGTGCAAGCACGTGGGGCGGGGCCCGCGCCGGCCCCGCCCCCTGGCCAGTGCGGCGGCCAATAGTGCAGCGCAGCTCCGGGCTGGCCACGCCCTCCCGCCCCGGCGCGGCCAATCAGAGGGAAGAGTGCAGGGAGCGCCCCCGCCCCCCGCGCGCGGAGCCGGTTCGGGCCGGTCCCGGTCCCGCCGCGGCCACGCCCCCGCTGGGCGGCCGATGGTCCCGGTGCTGCCCCGGGGACGGGGGGGCTCAAACACGTGCCCGTCCCTGCTTTGCCCCCGGACACACCGGGCACAGTCCCCCCCAGGCCATGGAGCCCCTCGGGGCGCACAGTGGCGAGAGGCGTGGGGGAGCCAGCGCGTGCTCGGGCCCGCGGAGTCCCGGGGCAGCCCCGGGAGCCGCCGCGGCTGTGCCGGAGGCACGCGGGAGTTCACGGAAGGCTCACGGGGTGAGCCGGGGCCGCCCGCGGGCCCCCCGCACAGCGGGATGTGTGGGAAGGGAACCGGGCAGCGCTTCCTCGGCGCGGGATGCTCGGGGGAGACAATGGATCCCGCGGGCACGGCGGGGCCGGTGCCAGGACAAACCGGACCGGCTGCGCGGGGCCCTGTCCTACAGCCCCCTCCGGGCCTCGGCACAGCGCCCACGGCCCCGGGTCTCGGGTACCCAGGGAACACGCCTGGCCCCGGGATCTCAGCCGGGCAGTGCATGCGGGGGGGCCGGGGATTGCCGGTACCAGCCCAGCCAGAGCCGCCCGGTAACCCCGAGGGGCCAGGGCGGGCAATAACCAACATGGCTCAAGGCAGCCAATGCAGAGAGGCCTCTGCGGGACAGCAGCTCTGTTCCCAGGTCTCCCCCCAGCTCTTCTACATCCTGGGAGCCAACTCTTGGCTGAACCAGCAGTGGGAGCAGGGTGGAGCGCTCGGGGCCGGGGTGCTGGGCAAGGGGGGCAGGAAAAGCCAAAACAATGGGGCCATTGGCGCCAGTCCCCACCGTGCTCTCCACAGGGATCTGCCTGCTCTTGTAAACTCCTGAATCCTCTCAGAGCATTTTTTGCCCACGTCTGCCCCCAGCACATCCTGCCCCCCCTGCGCTGGGGGCATTCGGCAGATGGGGCTCCCCTGGTGCAAAAATCAGGCAGAATGTGGAGCCCACGGCACCCTCAGCCTGAGGAGCTGGTCCTGATCTGGGCAGCCTCCAGTGTTCAGCACTGTTGGGAACTCCCAGGAAGGGGGAGAGAGGCTGCATGGAGCTCCAGGACCTTCCTGCCAGGGGGACAGCAGGGGCAGGTTCTGCAGGGCCAAGGCTGGGGTGGTCCCTGGCCCTGGGGGCAGATCACAGTGCTGCCAGAGCATCACCCTGAGGGCAGCAGGGAAGGAACCAGCTGCAAGGAGCCAGCAAAGGCAGAGGGCACGTGGGCACGGTAATTCGTACCCCTGTGGGTGGGGGAGGCTACTGGGGGTGCACAGAGAAGCCCCCCAGAAAAGGAGGGGGGAGCTGGCTGTGAAGGGGGGGCAGCCGGGGCTGCTGCTCGGTGCCGGCTGGTTGACCTTGGAAGCCGTTTGCCAGGCCCGAATAAAGCAACAATAATCCTATTCACCTTTTAGCCTCATTTCCTAAGGCAACAAAGCACATGCCCACTCCGCGTGCAGTCGCAGGTGTCACTCAAGCCCTGATCCCATTTGCACGACTCCAGCCAGGGGGGAAGTTTTGCTCATTACCCCTCTGATGAGCTTTGTGCTGGGGGGGGCAGGAGCCTCAGGCAGGCGCTTTGCCAGGGCTTCATCCCTGCCCCAGCCCCAAGGCACTGGCAGCAGGGCTGCTCACCCCATCCCAGTGGGGGAAGGCAGGGCAGTGCCCCAGGCTGGAGTGGGGCAGGCTGGGAGCTCACACATCCCAGCCCCTCTTTGTGGGCTCAGGACACACCCAACTGTGCCCAGATCAGACGGCCCCAGGCACCCACTGCGCACCCATCAGCCAACACTCAGCTTCGCTGTGCAGTGCCCGGGCAGGTCTGCTGCCTGCAGAGGAGCAGGAAGGGAGGGAAGCACCTTCCCAGTGCAGCACTGGAGGGTTTGGCCCAGGCCAAGAGACCATGTGTTGGCTGCAGGTCTGGGGCAGAGGCACCTAACGCTGCACCCTCCCCTCCCTGGGAAGGGCAAAGATGCTCTCCAGGCCAGAGGCAACCCTGCCCAGACCCTCCTGCCTCCTCTGCAAGGTGGGTAGAGGATTGCTGTGAGACCCCCGCTGCCCTGCAGCCCTGGGAGAGCAGCCAGCCCATCCCGCCACAGCTCCATGCGGGGGCTGAAGGGCAGGAGCTGGTCCACGTCTGGCATGGAAACCCCTGGAACAGACCAGGCAGGGCCTCACCGATGCACCACGGCCTTCCCTAGAAGAACTTTATTAAATAGTTTCCAAAAAAACAGAAGCAGAAAGACTCAGCATGACCCTGTCCCTCCCAGCTAGTCAAAAACTACAAACAGACCACCCCCGTGCCCCCAGTGCTGGCAGCTGCCGGGCAGGAACTGCCTGGTGCCCTACGAACACAGCTCTGGCATCACAGGCAGGGGAAGCAGGAGGGTCCCACAGGGACAGCCCAGAGGGCTGCAGGGTGAGCCCCAAAAGGTGTTGAAAATCACACAATGCTCACATGCTGCCCCCCCAAAAGCAACCACTCACCGCCACCACAAGCCCCCCAAACCACTCCTCCCCCACAGGGCTGAAGAGGAGCTGAACATGCCCAAACAAGGGGCAGCCAACATCAGCTCTGGCTGTCACTCCTCAGCCAGAGACACCAGTGCCCCAGTTTCTGTGGCTTTGTGAACACCCAAACACAGCTTCCCCCTTCCCTCCCCCCCAGAAGTTTATAAAATAGGGGGTTTGTTTTTTGCTTTGCCTACAAAGACAGTGATCTCCTTTGCAACAGCAGAACAGTCTCCCTGCGAGGTAGAGAGTTAATTTCAGGGCTGACAGATCCTAAATTCAAACCCGTTTGTTCTAGTTGAGGTAAAATTCAGTAGTTTATAGTAAGTTTTGCAATGCTAGAGGGCCATCAAGATTCCTCATTGCCGGAGTCATCCTCATCACCATAACAGCTCTCTGCTTCCTCCTCCATCTCATCATCCTCATAATAGTCATCATAGAAGAGGTCTGAGCCCTCATCTGAGGCTGGAACCTTGGTCTTCACACAGTACTCTGCCAGCGTGGTGGGGACTTTCACACCATCCCGCTCAGCGTCCAGTTTGGTGCCCAGCACTTGCTTCCTGGAGGGCCAGAAGTGAGGGGTGAGGACAGAGCTCTGCACCACAGCCCTCCAGATCCCGTGTCCCACAGGATGCCAGCCCAGCCAGCACTGCCAGGCCTGGCTCAGCACACACCTGATGATGTCCGTGTACTCCCGGTCCTTCCCTTTGCTCTCCTTCCACTTGCGGTACATCACAGAGGCGTCCACGTTGGCCGGGGAAAACGTGTTGGGCTCATTCAGCAGTGAGATCACACTCAGGAGAATGGTCCTGGCATCGATAAACACGAGCAGGTCAGAGCCAAGGCGGGTCAGCAGCCACCCACAGCCCAGCAGCCCTGTGTCCCAGCAATGCCACCGAGTCCGTGGGGTAAGAGAGCCCTGTGCTGCCCACACAGTGAGGGGGAGCAGGCCAGGCAGGGGACACCAGCACATGGGCTGTCGGGCTCACATGCAACCCCACACAAGCTCTGGCTGTTCTTCAGCAAAGCCCACAGCCCAAGTGCCTTCGACAGCCCCCTGGAATCTCCTTCAGGCTTTGGGAGCAGAAGGCCATCCTCATCCTCCCACCATCCCACCCCTGCCCTCAGCTGAGCCCCCACCACAGCCCTCACCGCACGTTCTGGGTGGGGTTCCAGCGCTCCGATGGCAGCTCCCCACTCTGCGGGTCGTCCACAGGTGGGTGGAGGATGGAGATGCAGACATCACCAGTCTGAAAGCACGAGAGAAACAGAACCCTCAGGAGCTGATGCCCCAAGCACCCTTCAGTAGCAGCTCCTCACTCACTCTTCCCTTCGGCTGAAGCCACATGAGGCAATCCCAGCTGTTCCTTCAATCCCAAGGAAGGGGCACCAGAGTTGTTGTTGCAGCCTCAGGCCTTGGGCTGCCAGCACCATACGGGTCAGGCTGCCCGATGCTGAACGCTCCGTGTGCCCAGCACAGCCCTCCTGCACCCCCTGTGCCCAGGGCCCCGGGGCCTGGCACATTGCTTGCCCTGCAGCCACTCGTGGCACAGGCACGACATCCCTGCGGGCTGAGCGTGGGAGCTGCCGGGCCTGGGAGGCCTGGCTGGCCTGGAACCTGTGCTGGGACAGCAAACGGCTGTCGGGAGCTCATTAGTGGCGTTCCCAGTGCCAGGCAGTCATTGCCAAAGGCACTGAGTGTCCAGTGCCAGACAAAGGCTGGCACTTGCATCCAGTGTCATTGCAATAGATGCACACATGTCCACTGCCTGTCCAAGACTCTCCTCACTGTCCCGGGGGACCTACCTCATAGATATTGGGGTGCCACATTTTGGTTAAGAACCTGAAGGCAGGAGGAGAGTAGGGGTAGTCGATGGGAAACCGGAGACGAGCCTGCAAGGAAACAATAAGGAGACATGAGGAGACCAGCTTGTGAGAAGGAAGGGACAGAAACCACAAAGCTCCTGACAGCTCTGGGAAAAAGGAACCTCTGCCAAGCCCAGATGGGCTTCTGCTGGCCTCCATGTCAGCTGGCTCCGTAAGCAGGACACCAGCCCTGCAGGTGCCCTCCCACCACACAGAGTGGGGTAAGTGAATGGGCTGTGAGAGTTGTCAGCTCCTTCCCCTCCATTCTGCCCAATACCCTCCTCTCCAGTAGGGCCCACCCTCGCTAACCTGCTGCTCTCCAACACGGAGGGACCAGTGGGAGCCCACAGTGCTGATCCAGCACGGCCCCAGCACCTGGAGCCAGCCAACCCCCAGGGCT